GCTGCATTGGTGGCTGCCCACTGCTTCACTGGGTGAATGGGTTAAATGCAGAGGAGTAATTTCCCTATGGGGACTAACACATTATTATTATTTTACCTACAGGACATCAGTGAATTCAACCCAGGCTGTTCAGAGATGGTGCTTAAACCCGTAAAGTTTTGCTCACAGAGCACTTGACCCGACACTGCAGGGAAATCTGAACTTGATAAACTAACTTAGCCAGAGGAGGAATTCATTCATAATCTGTCTGCATCATGAGGCAGGCCTCTGATCTCATCCACTGACCGATGGCAGAAATAATGACAATGATTATTTTTTTTATTATTTTTTTTAAAGAGCATCTGTAGCTCCTGGACTTGAGGTCGGGGATGTAATTGTGTGTGTGCGTGTGTGTGTTTCACATAATAAATTCTAACATGAAGTTACTGAAATAAAAATCATGCTATCGCTTTTTATTCCTGTAAACGAATGAGCTGCCTGTCACCCCTGCTGTCGCTCTCCTGTTTAACACTTGGGCTGTAAATGGGGTGAAAATGTGACTTAAATAGTCAAATAAAGGCTTTGTTTCATACTCTGACACAGAGAACACCTTAAGCAACTGTTTGAGACACTTAAAGTGTAGCAGAAGCAATCAGCCAGCCCAATATTCAGTTTTACTAAACTCTTAAAAAATGTGCATTTATTCAGAGATGCTCTGGAACATGTTTTATCTCTGCGCTCTGATCATAAGGTAAGCATTTGCAGGTAACTGAAAATGATTTTATTCAAAGCAGCGTTCAGGAAAGCCTGGAACTTTATGAGAGATGTGGGACATCCCAGAGTGCTGCCCCTCAGAAGAGAAGCTGACACACGAGTACACAGAACAACAGAAATCCATTAGTGCAATAAATAAAACATTATCTGACGAATAAGGAAAAAGAAAGGAGAAAGGGGTACACAGCTGTAACAATACAGCCCTGTTAAAAGGCTTATTTATCGTAGCTGGGGCTTCCCCGAGCGGCTATAGAGTGCTTTTTTTTTATAGGTAGATACAGAGCCGGTAAAAGGGATCTTAAAATATCCAGGCTCAGAGGTTACTCAAAAGCAAATATACAAAGTTGAGTTTGTAGCTGCTTCTTAAAGGCCACCTTAAAATCCATGCATTCTCCAAGTCAGAGTCTGGGGATGCGGTTCCATCGTGTCAGTACCAGGTAGCAAACCTGTCACACCATGATGTGAAGAGCCGATGTTTAAATGATGCAGGATGCTGATGAGCAAGTGCCTCTCACTCTGATTGGCCCTTGAGGCAGTCAACTCAGGACACAGATTCTTCAGCATCTGTG